CCAGGACCAGCGTGGGCCCTGGAGGCCTGGAAATTGGCCCTGAGGGACAGAAATGGTCCAGGAAGCAGGAGTTGGGCCAGGGGAATGAGGCAGCCCGTGGAGGGTTGGAGAGGATTGAAAATATAATCAGTAAAACCCTCTTGGCATTTTGGATGACATCCATGGCATTCATGCACGTCACAGGCCGCTGTCACCAGCCCTAAGATGCGGGGTTTTTCTCATTTTCAGCTACGCAGGCAGTGAGTTCTGTACCCGCTGGGGGCACTGACGCAGCCCGGGTCTTACCGTGTGCCACCGTCCATCGTTGCATTTCTCCTTGCTCTTGAGCCTCAGTTTTTTCCCTTCTGTCCCCAATGCAAAGACCAGACGTCCTTTTGAAAGATAAAGTGCCATAAAGGAGTTCTTAGTGCCAGTGTAAAACACCAGCCCTCTGGAGGATGCCGTCCGCACGTCCAGGGCGAACTGTGACCTGTGGGGAACACAAGTAGTGAGGTGAGGGAGAATCGAGATGTTTAGTGTTCCTCCGCATCTCCGAGCTGGGAGAGAGGGTGGCGAGCAAACCCCAAACCACCAGATGTCGAAGGAATAAACTAGGGGATGTACTGATGACATGGCATGGGTCTCTGAGGACTGTTAAAGCTAGTGTAGTCCAGCCATTAATAGCTTCGTTGTTCCTCACTGTATTGGGGAATAATGTGGAACTTTGGTGGCTATTTTAATTAGGGGCATAAGTCCCAGCACACAACAAGACAGAATATGTCTCAATTAAAAAAAAAAAACTACATTAAAAATTTATATAACACACACATACATTTTACCATCTCAAACATTTTGAAGTATATGTCAGCAGTGTCAAGGTCACGAGCAATGTCAAGCACACTCCCATCGTGTGAATGTGACTGCAGAACTTTTCCCATCTTGCAAAACTGAAGCTCTGTGCCCATGAGCAAACAGTTCCCTATCCTGCTGTCCACACAGCCCTGACAGCCACCATTCTACTTTCTGTGTCTCTGACTCCACAGGGCACCTCATGTCAGTGGGATCACACAGTATTTTCCTTTCTTCTAGTAGCCTGTGCCTTTTAGACCCACTGAATACACCCTCTCATTTGTATTCAT